CCTAAAGGATCCCGTGGAATCTTATAGCATCCCTACGGGATCCTATATGATCCCTATGGAATCTTTCAGGATTACGATTGTATCCTATAGTTCCCCGTTGGAACCCTACAGGATCCTGGTGGGATTTTGTACGTTCGAAATAAAGAATCATACGATTCCGATGCAGTCCTACAGGATCCCCATGAAATGCCATAAGATCCCTATGGTATCGTATAGGCCCGTATGACATCTTAGAGGATCGTCTATGGAATCCGATAAGATCTCTCGGCAATCCTAAAGTGGCATTTATTGGATCGTGATGGAATCCTATAGGACCCGGTGCAATCCTAAAGGGTCCCTACGGAACCCTATGAGATCCTTATGGGATTCTCTAGGATCCCTCATTATCATAATTGAATCCGATATGACCGAAGGGACCCTGTAAGATTCTTCATGGAATCCCATAGGACCCTGATGGAATCCTACAGGATCTTTCTGGGATCTTATAGGATCTTTATGGAGTCCTACAAGGTCCTTATGAAATTCTATAGGATCACTATGGCATCCCATAGGATCCTTATGGGATCCCTATGGGGTCCTATAGGATTCCCACGGAATCCTAAATGATCCACATGGAATCCTACAGGACCTTTAAGGATACCTATAGGGTCCCCATGGCAGATTTTGGGATCCCTATGGAACCCTATATAGGATCCCGGTGGAATCCCATGGGATCCTTATGGCATCTTATAGGATCGTGATGGGATCCCATCGGATTATCATCGGATTCCGAATGGATTCCATCTGGATTCCGCTTACAGTAGGACTCAACTTGGATTCCATTAGGGTTCCGATTGCAATCGGATTCCAATAAGAATCCAATAGGAACCCGTTTACAATATGATACCGATTACTATAGAAATCCGATTACATTCGGATTCCCATTACACTAGGATTCCGATTTCAACCGGGTCCGATTACAATCGGATTCCGATTACAGTCGGATTCCGATTACATTAAAATCCCGATTACATTTTAGGATCCCACCCTAACCCAAACCCAAAGTCAAACCCAATCCCAAACCCCACAGGCTATCCTCAATTCAGGTATATAGAAGTAATGCAAACGAAACCTGTGTCACACCTGACCTGTGGCCGGCGCCTTTGTGTCCGTAAGGTTTTCACAGGATTCCTCCGTTGATCCTCCGCGTTCGCCATGTTGGCCGTCCAGACGGGCGTCGGATCCCTTAAGACGACCTTCGGGTTCCTATGGGTTCTTGTAGGATCTCTATTGCATCCTATAGGATCCCCATGGAATCCTACAGGATCTGTGTGTAATTCTACAGGATCCCGTGAAATCATATAGCATCCCGTCGGGATTTTATAGGACCCTTATGTAATCTCATAGGATCCCTATGGAATCCTTTACGATCCCTATGGAATCGTGATGATTGCTGATGGTGAAGAGGATGACGGTGATGATGATGATGATGATGATGATGATGATGATGATGATGATGATGATGATGATGATGATGATGATGTTTATGACGAGTGATGATGCTGCTGCTGCTGATGATGATGCTGATAACGATGATGATGGTGATGGTGGTGGTGATGATGATTATCATGATGATGATGATGATGATGATGATGCTGATGATGATGATGCTGCTGCTGCTGATGATGATGATGATGATGATGATGATGCCGATGATGATGATGATGATGATGATGACGATGATGATGATGATGCTGATGATGATGATGATGAGTGATGATGAGGTTGCTGCTGCTGCTGATGATGATGATGATGATGCTGATTATGATGATGATGATGATGATGATGATGATGATGATGATGATGATGATGATGATGATGTTGATGATGATGATGATGATGATGATTCTGCTGCTGCTGATAATGATGATGATGATGATGATGATGATGATGATGATGATGATGATGATGATGATGATGATGATGATGATGACGATGATGATGATGATGATGATGATGATGATGATGATGATGGTGATGATGATGATGGTGGTGGTGGTGGTGGTGGTGGGGGTGGTGGTGGTGGTGTGGTGGTGAGGAGGAGGAGGAGGAGGAGGAGGAGGAGGAGGAGGCGGAGGGAGGAGGGAGGAGAGAGGAGGGAGGGAACAGGGAGGGGGGAGGCGGAGGGCGGAGGGAGGAGGGAGAGGAGGAGGGAGGAGGAGGGAGGGAGGGAGGGAGGAGGGAGGAGGATAGGAAAAGGAGGAGGAGGAGGAGGAAAAGGAGGAGGAGGGGAGAGGAGGAAGAGGAGGAGGAGGAGGAGAGGAGGAGGAGGGAGGAGGAGGGGAGGAGGAGGAGGAGGAAGATGAGGAGGAGGATCGCAAACTGGAACATATATATTACCACTGGCGGGTTGTTTTTCAATCCCACGAGTTTTCAAGGGTCAGGGACGACGTCGGGGTGGTGTGGCGTATACCTTTCCCCCGTTTCCCAAGGGAAACAACAACACATGTATACACCAGGATCCCGTATACACCATTATCCGCGTCCCTGTGCGAATTTCGGCGCAGGGTCGGGAAAAGCGTCGGTGTATAGAGTTCGTTTTCCAGGAGGAGGGGGAGGAAGAGGATGAGGAAGAGGAGGAGGAGGAGGAGGAGGAGGAGGAGGAGGAGGAGGAGGAGGAGGAGGAGGAGGAGGAGGAGGGACGGGACCTGGGACGGGACCTCGAAGGAATCACCAAAATCGTGAACAGGGTGAAAACACGGGGTATCCCTCCAGAGGGCTCTTTTTGCAAAGGTGGTGGAACTACAGCACCGAGTGCAGCGGCGCCCTGTTTCATCAAGGCAATGGGTGGTCGAACAAATCTGGACCACCGATGGGGGCAGGAGAATGCGGAGGAGGGCAGGTCTCACGCCTTTCCGTTCCCTCGATCCCAGTTGTTTCTCTGCCTCAAGCGCATCCACCGTGGCACGGAGGAGACGGAGCCTGACAGCATATGCTTGGTGCCCCCAAATCTCTGCACGTGCTCTCGTTTCTTTGTCGATCTGGCACTTAGCAGCCGCGGCTCCTGCGAAGGTGTCCGCCACAGAATTACCCAAGATCATTCACATCGGAGATCTCCCAAACAGAACCTCGCGGGCCTCCAGGTGCGAGTTGACAAACTAGCACCACAACAGAGGTTGGACCGCGATGGGCCACGAACCGCTTGCTAATATCATGTCGCAAATCTGCGTCTGGTCCCGTGGGTGACTCGTACTGTCGGTCAGCCCGCCCCTCTGCAACATATTCACTGTCTGTCGAGTACACCACACAGCCTGCTGTCCTCTGGACGGCCAGCAACAGCGCGCGGAGTTACCCCTAGGCACGGGCTGACGAGCACCGACCAACCCGCCCAGGACAGCGCTCTCGGTCACGACAGGATTGAACTGCAAAGCGCGGGCAACTGCCAGGCCTACTCGCCGATACCGAGTCGAGCTGGACAACTCGCCACCACTGACATCTCGAACAGGAACAGCGGATTGTGGCGAGAGCCACTCCCGATGAAACCGTCGTCAGTAGCAGCGTGTCCGTACCAGCCCCAGCGCTCCTCTGCAGGGGGCGGTGGGACCTTCACCAGTGCCGACGGAAGTAGCCCTCGTAGCCAGACGCACTCCGTGGCTTCCCAGCTGGAGAAGGCTTCGCTCACACATTATTCTGAAACTTTGTATGCTGCCGCGCCTGTGTTCTGGATGCAGCTCCACGTCCGATGGAAAAGATGTCCCATCTTCCCCCCCACAGCGGGGGCAAACCCTGTCTACCTGAGTACTTGCTGGTGCCCAGTCTGCCTGTCTCATACGTGCCCAGAAAACCCCAGCTGCTATCGTCACCAACAGTTCTGCGAGGCGTGCTCCGCGGTCAGCCGACTACAGTTGGCGATGAAGCCTACGAAGGGACATGCAATCGATACCGTCCTCCATGCCGCCCCCACAGGAATGTGACGACGCCTGTGACCACAAAGACTTGCCAATGGAATGTTGGACGTCCTGGATGAGCAAACCTGGGTCATCGACGTCTGGCCAACCTGTCCACGCCGTGTCGGGGAAGTGCCACTCGATCGATGCACCTCTCGGCGTCGCCGCTGGTCGAAACCAATCGGTAGCCGTCGCAGGGTCCCATCCACTGTTTAACAGCAGCGCAATGGCGGCAGCGACTGGCCCCCTGATGTGCCGCGAGCGCCGCCTTGGGGAGATGGCCCGAAGCCTCTCCACCAGGGTGCACCACGCGCGAGTAACCCCAGGGCGTATGGATGGTTCCTCTCGCCAGACACGGAGCCACTGCCGCAGCACCTCTTCGGGGAGTTTGTAGGCAGGGTCGTGCGGTGCTTTGGTGGCCAGCACCAGGGTAGGACATCTGCCCGTGGATGGCGCGGTCAGGACCGCGCCAAGTCGGCGCCTGCTCTGCTCCAAATGGACTCCGAGGGTGCCGAGCATTTGATGTCTATAGAGCCCTGCAGCCTGAGCTCCTAATCGTTTCAGCTTCGACGTCACTCCGTACTGGCGTCCAGCCTTGGCGAAACGTCGAACGCGAGTGTGCATCAAACGGTGCTTATCAGCTAGTTTCCGTCTCGTGGCCCGCGCGTGCCGTCGCCTTGCACAGAGGTCTGTGCCCAAATACCCAGCAGAACGCTGAGGTCACACTGTGAAGCCAGCTAGGCGAAGAGCACGACACAAGCGAACCGCATCAGGGTGGTGTAAGCAAACCACCAATGAGGAGGAGGAGGAGGTGGAGGAGGAGGAGAGGAGGAGGAGGAGGAGGAGGAGGAGGAGGAGAGGAGGAGGAGGAGGAGGGAGGGAGGGGAGGGAGGGAGGGAGGAGGGAGGGAGGGAGGGAGGGGGAGGGAGGAGGGAGGAGGGAGGGAGGGAGGGAGGAGGGAGGCGGAGGAGGAGGAGGAGGACGAGGAGGAGGAGGAGGAGGAGGAGGAGAGGAGGAGGAAAAAGAGGGGGAGGAGGAAAAGGAGGAGTTTCGACGAGGGGCCCTGCCGCGCAGGTGAACAAGAATACCTTTGGCATCGACAAGGCCGCCAACCTCCAGGAGCCGCCCCGCCCCCCGCGTCCCTTCCCCTCGCCTCGCCCGGCCCCCGCGGCCTGCGCCTCCTCCCTCCTCCTCCTCCTCCTCTCCTCCTCCTCCTCCTCCTCCTCCTCCTCCTCCTCCTCCTCCTCCTCCTCCTCCTCCTCCTCCTCTCGGAGGACGTCGGCGCTCTGGCGGCGCCCGCGGCGCTGCTCCGGGCGCGTCCGCGCGCTAGGGAGGGGGGTCAGCGCAGATCCCAGAAATCCGCGCTGGACCTTCGAAAATTTAGGTTTCTGCCGAAGTCCTTGCTTTATCCTCCTCATTGGCATACCGTCCGATCCTCGAGCGGGTCCTACGGAAAGCCCCAGATGGGTTCAGATCCCTGCCAGCGGTTGGGCGATCTGCCGCAAGTGTCAGCAGGCGCGCTCCCTCTACAAATTAGCCGCCACCGCTGCTGATCAGATGGACTGCTTTTCCCAGGGGGTGCCGTCGGATGTTCCTCATCTCTCCTTCCTCCCTCCCTCGCTCCTTCCTCCCTCCTTCTACCCTTGGTTAGGTTGTTGGCTTCACTGCTTTTTCATTTACCTGGCCTCAGCCACTCTCCTCTGAGTCTGGCGCTCGCCTTCATGCAATGTGTGCCTTCCTGGCTATCTTGGCCTCCGCAGCATCATGTTTACGCCGTCCCATGTATTGTTCTGCCGCTTGTAGTGCCGCTCGCGTCTGGCAGGTCCCTGCGCCCAGTCAGCCTAGCAATCCCAAGACATACTCCCCTCCTCCCCCCTCCCTCCTCCTTCCTCCCTCCTCGTAGCAGACATTGCTTGTGAGCCTCCCAAGAGGGGTCGCCACGGGGTGTTTCACGGGCTCGTTCGCTTAGATTGGCAGAGCCTCTCAAGCAGAGCGCTTGCTTTCGGAGAGAGAAAACTCCGTGCTCACCGCGATGAAGTAGGCGCCGCGTTTGGGCCTCCACTGCACGTGTCCACCTGGGGTGTTGCACGGGCTCTCTCGCGTCGAGATTGGTGCTACCTCGCAAGCAGAATGCTTGTTTTCTGGAAGCCGCATGCCTCTTTTCAAAGCCCCATGATCGCCGCGATGTAGCAGGCATTGAGGAGTTTTGCCTCCCAAGGCGGTGTCGACCAGGATTTTCTCACGGGCCTGTTCGCGCCCTGTTCTGGGGACTTCTTGTTTTGGAGCAATAAACGTGTCTGCCCCATGATCAAGATCACCGCGAGGTAGCAGGCATTGCGATTGGGCCACCCCTGGGGGAACTGCCAAGGGGTAATCATGACACGGGCCCGATCGCGCCTAGATTGTGGGGACCTCTCGCGCGCTCAATTGATACGATCCTCATATGAATGTCCAGACTTAGTTGCTCATATTCCGATCCGTTGACACTCAAGAGCCCGATGATTCCCATACCCGCCCACAATGAGACTCGCTCATACTCAGACACTCGTTTTAAAAATCGCTCACCCTCAGACTCACCTATTCTCAGACACTCATGACATGCGGAGATGTCCGTGTAGACTCTTTAATCTTTATTCATCATGGGGTCGGGGGGAGTCCCGACCCCTCCCCCAGGGCCAGGCTTCCATCCCGAGTCATTTTTTGAAGGTCCTCGGGCGCCGCGAGCGGCCCCTGGAGGCCGAAAGCGGACGACGCAGCTGCACTGCTGTGTCGTCGAAGGTCTGGGCGCATGGCCTCCCAACTCGATCTCCCCGGGGACCCTTCCAGGGGCGCGCTCCGGCCAGGATCTCGGCGCCAATCCAGCCGTGGCGACAAGCAGGCCGTGGCGACGAGCAGCCCCAGGACGCCCGAGTCCTCGATCCTCGATCCTCGATCTCCGATCCTCGATCCCTCCTTGGTCCAGCAGCTTAGGAGGTCCCGCGGCCGAGCACGCGCAGGCTCGCGCCGGCCCAGAGGGCCGGCCGCTCGCCGCAGCACCAGCGCTCGGCCGCAGCAGCGGAGGGGAGCCGCCGCGCCGCCGCGGGGAGGTGCCGGACATCGCGCCAGGGACGAGCGCGGAGGTGGTCCTCCAGATGGCGGGGCCCCACCGTGCTCGCCGCCGTGGCCGTCGTCGTCGTCGTCGTCGCCGTTGGGCCCGCCGGCCTCGTCGTCGGGTGGTGGGCCGTCGTCGCCGCCGTCGCCGCCGTGGCCGCCGTGGCCGCCGTCGCCCAGCGTCGTCGGGCGCTCTGAGCAAGGCAGTCGTTTTTTGCTTCTGCTGCTTGAGGCGGGCACGAGGCTGGCTGCACTGGTCAGGGCACCGAGGCAGTAACGATCGGGACAACGCTCACGGAGTTGTCGAGTTGTGTTGAGATGAGTTGAGTCGAATTGAGTTGCTGTGAGGTGAGACGAGTTGAGTCGAGTTGAGGCGAGTCGAGTCGTCGTCGTCGTTGCCGTCGTCCCTGCCGTCCCGCGTGCCCGCGGGCGTCGGCGTCCTGGCGGCCGCGCGGCTGGCGATACGATGGATGGGTAAGTGGGCCCCTTTGGTTGGCGCGGGTAGGAGGAGGAGGAAGAAGAGGAGGATGAGCAGGGGGAGGAGGAGGAGAAGAAGGAGGAGGAGGAGTAATATTAATCATCATAAGCGTAGTAATAATAAGACTAATATGAAAACTACGACAAAAATAACAATAGTAATAATGTGCATGCGGATCATATTAGACATGCTAGCACGACTATGGATCTCATCGGTAATAGTAATAAGAACAAGGCTGACAATCGGAATGACACCAATACTAAGAATATTCGTACGAAAAATAAGGTGAATAGTGCTAATACTAAGACTATTCAAATAATGTTAAATACTAACCCGACGCATGCGAAAAATACTACCAAGCACCAGAATACGAATCATACTGAGGTTGCTGATAATAGTAATAATAGTATTAATAGTACAACTACTACACAAATAACAATAATAATCATGCGCATGCGCATCATACTAGACATGCTAGCACGACTGTGGATCTTATCGATAATAAGAGTAATAGCAACACTGGCAATAGGAATGAAGCCAATACTAAGACAATTCGTACGACAAATAATGTGAATAATACTAGTACTAAGACTATTGAATTAATGTTAGGAATAACCCGACGCATACGAAGAATACTACCAAGCACCATAATACGAATCATATTAAGGATGCTATTGCTAATGCTGATAATTACAGTCCTAGTATTACTACTAAGACGAATCGTGATAGTTTTAAGAAGAACAATGCTACTCCGCATGCTAACATTAGTACTACTCGTAACAATACTTATACTTATATCATTAGTAAGGATAGCAGCCAGACAGCCAATACTGACACTACTATTGAGAAGAAGACTACGAATATCAATCGTACGGATAATAATAAGACGAATAATACTACGACGAACACGAACACTATTCGTACAATTTGTATCAGTAATAACAATGATACGGATCATAACATAATACTCATAATGCGAATGCTAATCATACGGGTAATGATCATACTGCGAATAATAGAAATACGAAGAATAATGCTAAGTCGAATGAAACTCATACTACTAATATTGGTAATAACGCTAACATAAGTAATAATGATAATGGTGATAATGAGGAGACTAAGAAGCATCATCATAAGAGTAATAACACTAATAGTATTCATATCACTGGAGGAGGATGAGGAGGAGGAAGGAGGAGGAGGAGAGGGCCAGGAGGAGGAGGGGGGGAAGGAGGAGGAGGAGGAGGAGGAGGAGGAGGAGGAGGCGGATCGCAGGACAAACAACCGCACGCACACACTCAATTTCTCGGAGCTCCACGCGGAGCTCTGGGAAATCGAGTCTACCCCTGTTTTGTTTCCCCCCGGAGGAGGATGAGGAGGAGGATGAGGAGGAGGAGGAGGGGGAGGATTAGTAGGAGGGGGAGGGTCGAGGAGGAAAAGGAGGAGGAACATGAGGAGGAGGAGGAGGAGTAGGAGGAGGAGCGCAGGACAAACAACCGCATGCACTTCTTTTGTCGGAGCTCCGCGCAGAACTCCGAGAAGTTAGGTCTACCCCGTTATTTTATCCCCCCCCAGGAGGAGGAGAAGGAGGATGAGGAGGAGGAGGCGGAGGAGCAGTAGGAGGAGGAGGAGTGAGGACCACAGTAACCCTAGTATGCATCAGCGATGATGCAGTACACCCCTTCAGGGCCAGTCCCAAGTATGCTCTGCGTTTGACTACAAGAGGTGCCCGTTTTTGAAAGGCATTCCAGGTTGCCTGCCATTCAGGCGAAAGCCTCGTTTTGAAAATGAGCTGCCAATTTTCGTTCTAGCGAATAAGAAGAAATGCGACACGGTACGATCATACAGCTCAAAGGGGTGTACAGCGAGATCCCACTTTTGAAGAAGGACCGTCGCATCCGTGCCATTGTTGCAGGAAGTCTCTCGATAGCGTTGTATTGAAAAGGAACTGCCCTCCATCCTTGCAGCTGGTACGTATGGTCCAGTTCCTGGTTTTGACATTAAAGCGAGTCTTGAGCGAGGGCTCCATTTTGGACAGGAGTTGTCTTCTAACCTTGTGGCTGGTGCAAACTTTAAGACAGATGTGCACATCGCGAAGGCGAGTGCCCAAACAAAAATTGCCGTCCATCCTGGTAGCTTTTGCAAGCTTTTCAGACGAATGTGTGCGGCGCTCAGGCGAGAGATCCATTTTGAACACGACCCCCATCTATCGTTACAATTGTTGGTTGCAAGCTTTTAGAAGAAATATGCGCGGCGCTAAGGCGAGAGTTTCATTTGAAAAGACCCCCTTCATCCGTGTAACTGTTACCAGCTTCTAGCTTCAGGATCGTAAGTTGTGAGGAAGTCTGAGGCGAATCGCCTGTCCCGCCCTACCTACACGTCTGGGGGTGCGACAGGGAGGAGTTCTTCATAAAGGGGTGGAGGGGTGGAGGGAGGAGCAGAAGGAGGGGGGAGGGGGAGGGGGAGGTTTGGGGTCTCGGGGATCGAGCTTTTTTTTGGGGGTTATTCG